ATTAATGCTGCCATTAAAAAACTGGTTTTAAAATTGCTTCACAGGCAAAAATGGAATTATAGAAAAACTAAAATCTTCACATTTATAAAACAGGACTGAAATCAACACTTATAGTCTGGAGGCCCCAGCCTTTCACAGTCCATCACTGCTAGGTTAAATAACACTCTGCAACATCACTATATCGTCCAAAATGACGAAGTGAAATCAAAGAAATGCTGAGTCAACACCTCTCTAACACAAAAGAACATTATCAGTTTCATTGCAGAGCTGTTGTATTACACAGCATTAGTTTAGGTGTACCTAATAAACCGCTATCTGAGTGTAAGATGCATATTCTTGTAGTATTTTGTAAAATATAATACCACACAGCAAACCCAGGGCCAGACAGTATTCCTGTATAACAACAGTGGAGTGGGCAATGGGGGATTACAGGTCAATAGGGTCTTGCAGTTTCTGACCCCCTAAGCAAAACCAGTTCACTGACACTTAGCTTTTAAACATTTTGTAGACAAGTAACAAAAATAGTAAATGTCAAATTGTTCTGTTAGAGTCAAAGTCATTAATACTTGTTTTTGTTGTAATAATAACTAACATAAAATACACAGGTCTCTAAGTGTCAGCCCTGTGATAGACTGGCGACCTGTCCAGGGTGGACCCCGCCTCTCGCCCAGTGTCAGCTGGGATTGGCTACAGGTATAAATAATGGATAGATGGATGGATAAAATGCACAGTATAATAAGACCCCTTGGTACACATGGTAAAGAAGATAGCCCAAGAATGTATTTTCACAGTAGACATTTTGACTTATTATAGTAATAAAACCGAGGCACAGATGTCTCTTTCATCATGACCAGTGGTTCATAAAAGTGGTGAATACATACAAATGGATCACTGAGCAAAATTACAATAGCTTGTTCAATAAATTTGTCACAATCTGTCACTTTGTGAGAGTTAAACACCTACATACTTAATTTATAAAAGCCTCATACTGTGGGTTGTTGTTGTGTTAGAGGCTACAATACCCTCAGTTACCCAGGTGCACCAGATATTGATTACCTCTAAAGAGAATAGAGGAAAAAATGTTTGAAAATATAGATGGCATGAATTATAAAAGCAGTGTGGTTCCCCCTTAAGAGTCCAGACAACAACTGTCTGTGTTTCCATAGGAGGAAACTGAACAGATACAGTAAACCCCAAAACTGAGTACTCCCTTGTGCAGTATCACTTAATCATCAAATGACTCAAAATTGTGCTGTCTTACAATAACTGAATTATTAAGTTGAAGAGTATCTATCTGATCTTGACAGCACTCAACGAGAACAAACCTCAGTCCCTATAATGCCATTACCCCTAAAAGCAATATTCCCATGACAGTTTGATCCTCACAATTCCTTGACCATAAAAACCTACCTGTAGCATTAGAAATCGCATTGATATCATTAGTTTGAAAGCTAATCAAGAAAACTAATATTTCAGTAATGGCAGTTTTCTCCAGGATCTACATTAGCTCAGTGACTTTTGAGGATATGTCAAATCTGTAGACACCCTACTGAATCAGCTGATTTTCAGCTAGAATTTGATTTTAGGTTCAAGTCTGAAGTGTTGTTGTCTCACAATAATGAGTTTTCAGTGAGTCCTATAAATATGAACATTCTGGATCATCACATCTGGAATATTAAATGGATCTAAATCAGACTTTGGTGGTTGGTAGAGCTTATATGGATGTACTGTAGGATTGTTAGGAACCAACATATTGAAATTGGCCGCAACTCACAATAGTAAAGAATCCTTAAAAAAATCTTGGACCCAATTAATGATCAGCACCAAAATCTAATGGATTATTCCATGGATTATAACATACCTCTCCAAAACAATTTCATCAAAATCCATGTATTACTGTTTGAGTTATGCTGTGAAACCAGGTAAAAACATTATTTCTGACTTGGTGGAGATAATTAAAAGCAACCCCATTAACCTGTGAACACCATGGCTTTTTCAATTTTGGCCTGGGTTGTGTCTAATCTAACAAGTCTCCAAATGGTAAAGAGTTGCCAGAACAAGTAAGAAACCAAACAGTCTTCATAGCAATGGGAGAGGCTACAGCATCTGTAGGCTACTGAACATAAACAAACACAGTGGCAGTGGTGGTTAGGAGGAATAGAAAGAGCCAGAGATGACAAAAGAGAAAAGGAGAGTGTGAATCTCACAAACAGAGGACTTTATTCCACCACTGACTGCAGTACTTCAGTACTACAGACAGACTCTCACACCTTGACGCCATCTCACACAAGAACAGAACAGGGAATTTACCTAATAAAAAAAGTAATTGGTCAGCAATTTAAATTTGTTTGACTGCTCTCTGTGGGACCGTTCCTCAGGCGTATAATGGGGTCAATTATCAGATGGAAGAAGCAGAGCTATAGATAATACAATGTCCTTTTGTAAATGTATAACTCTGGATTCAGGAGAATGTGGATGATGCGGCATACTGCACTGACGGTCAACAGGTTGGTTTACTCCTTGGAAGCCATGTGGGCCATCAGGTCACAGACACGGTTGCTGTAGCCGAACTCATTGTCGTACCTGGTGAAAAGGCAAGAAAGTATAAGTCATTATACATCGTTTGAAATACATGAGGATAGGAATGTAATTTGGGCTGAAGGCATACCATGAGACCAGCTTGACAAAGTGGTCACTGAGAGCGATGCCAGCGCCAGCATCAAAGATGGAGGAGTGAGAGTCGCCGTTGAAGTCTGTGGATACAACCTACAGGAGGCAGACACAATGTCACATTAACAAGAAAACTGACAAAAACATTTGAAGACAAGAGGTAAGAGACAGCCAAGCACATACCTGGTCCTCTGTGTATCCCAGAATGCCCTTCAGGGGTCCTTCAGCTGCAGCCTTCACGACCTTCTTGATGTCGTCGTATTTGGCCTGAGGAGATAAAAAGAAGTCTGGTTTGAATTCTAATTAAAATGTATAACATATAAAAGCAATAGTGCTAGTAGTACTTTTAAAAAAGAAATTAAATCTACTATTATAATCTACTATTGTACTTTAGTGAGTATTTATGGGACTGACTTGGAATGAACTACACCGCCTCATCACTATTATGAATAAATATGAGCACTGGGCAATACTTGGTGGTTTTGGACTTTTTACAGAATTTGTTGACAGTAAAAAAACAACAAAAAAAACAACATATTTATCATTTCAATAAAACCAGTTCCAGTTGGTTAAATGTTATGAATGCTTGAATCGCCTTGTCACTCACAGGTTTCTCCAGACGGACTGTCAGGTCAACCACGGACACGTTGGGGGTGGGGACACGGAAGGCCATGCCGGTCAGTTTGCTGTGAATTATGGCAATACATACAGTAGGTAAGGTCAAAAATTACATTCTCTTCACTTACTGCAAGTCCTGTTCATGCACAGATACAGTTATATTTGCAATACAGTTATGTGCCTTTGGCACTGACCCGTTGAGCTCAGGAATGACCTTGCCCACAGCTTTGGCAGCTCCAGTAGAGGCAGGGATGATGTTCTGGCTGGCACCACGGCCGTCCCTCCACAACTTTCCAGAGGGGCCATCCACGGTCTTCTGGGTAGCAGTGATGGCATGAACTGTGCTCTGACAGACAAAGACACAAAGAGGATGTGTAAATAAACTTTAAACCCCTCTAACTTTGTAATGTCATGTTGGCATTTTCGGCTGTTTGGAAATCTGCTTTTGGAGCTGCTTAGCATCTCTGCTGGATTGTTCCTTACCATGAGACCCTCAACGATGCCAAAGTTGTCATGGATGACTTTGGCCAGGGGGGCCAAGCAGTTGGTTGTGCAGGAAGCATTGCTACAGAGAGGCCAAGAACCAGCATCAGTTAATGAGGACTTTCAAAATAAAAGCACCGTCTCAAAATTGTTTTTGTATAATGAATGAAAAGCTTTTTTTTTTTTTTTACATATCAGAAGCATATGCACAATGGGTAAAACACTCAGTAATGCTATTAGTTTCTACCACAGCCTTCAGACTTGACTTTTAGCACTAAGTTAAAAACTTAACTTTACAGAAACATACTCAAACAGACTTTTGGATTCTTACCTGACAACCTGGAGGGTGTTGTTGTATTTCTCATGGTTGACACCCATCACAAACATGGGAGCATCAGCACTGGGTGCAGAGATGATGACTCTCTTGGCACCACCCTTCAAGTGAGCCTGCAATGTTGTGTTGAAATCCCATTAAGTCTGCATCATTTTATTGCCAATAACAGATCACCTATTGCTGCAGCAGCTGTGTTATATATACTATATACATATGCTACAATGTAAAATGACAGGACTGCGTACGTACAGAGGCCTTCTCAGTGGTGGTGAACACACCAGTAGACTCAACCACGTAATGAGCACCAGCTTCACCCCATTTGATGTGGGTGGGGTCCCTCCTGGAAAAGAGATGCAGCACAAAGGAAGTCACATAAATGCAGTTCTTCATTTTTTCTAATGTTTGTGACATGGAAATGAATGAATGTGACATAGAAATGCTTTCTACATTAAAAGGATAATGAACCCACTCGTGGAAAACAGTGATTTTGTGTCCGTCGATGACCAGGTGACCATCCTCAGCCTTGACCTCGCCATGGTAGCGGCCGTGGGTGGAGTCATACTTGAACATGTACACCTAAAGAAGTGATTAGGAGATGAGATCAGGAGGGGAACCCTTGACAGTTTTCACCAATTTATGACAGTTGACAAAAGGAGAAGATATTTGAATATAATTTACATATAAAGAGGAAAAACTGACTGCAAAAGTCTTCATGATATATTTAATTTGGCCGGTGTGTAGACATGAGATATGTTTGCCAAATTAATGCATTCTCCTGATCTGAATGGAAAACACATGAACTAATATTTTATACGTTTTAAATAATTTTTTTGCAAAGCCTTTACAGACTTGATAAAGCTTCCAGACAGCACCTAAAATTTAACAGCACATGGCTGATGGCTGGTGTTTATTTATCATAATGCCTTATATTTCAAGTAGTCCTCTTGACTCACCATGTAGTCCAGATCAATGAAAGGGTCATTGATGGCCACAACCTCCACCTTCTTGGAGTGGAAGGCAGCACGGGTCACCAGACGACCAATGCGGCCGAATCTGAAAAGTGAACAGTGTAGTTTCTTAGTCTGGCCTCTAGATGGCGATATGATACCATGGAACTCTGACCAAGGTCACTGATGAGGTGACTTACAGAGAATGGATTTGTAAGTTAAGTGGACACAGTGTCAAAATCAGTCATAATTATCTGAAATTAGGTTTTTGTTCATTCATTTCAGCTGCAGCACTGCTTACTACTTCATATTACTATTCTAGCTCTTTCCTTTGTGTGTGAGACATAAGCCCCCAGGAGATGTGAAACCACAGCTGAAGAAAGGGCAGGGTTCAGGAGGAGGTGTGAGTTTCAGAGCTTATTAGAGCACAGCCCTCACACTCAGCTCTTGAGGCTAAAGTTGAAAGTAACATCTAGTGTGGTAATCCTGGTGACGGTAGTGGACTATTTGATCAGAGGCCGAGTTACTTTTTAACCCCAGTGTCGAAAACGCTGGCAGAAACAGACTGTCCTCAGACACTGGGGGAGGAGGAAGAGGGGCGGAGAGGTAAAGTACATGACACAGATAGGTAGACTTTAAGTCTAATGCATGTTCAATAATAGTATTTAGGTATGCAGGTCCTCTTCTGCTTGCCTCACACTGCAAGTTCTGCCCATATTGTTATCTGATGAGGGCCAAAGTTCAAAGATCAAGTAAAATGTGAGACCAGACAGGCAGCTGTCCAGTTTGTCCTGCGTGCATGTGGTCCATAACACCCGCCCACCCCTCCTCAGCAGCTCTGTTGCGTCGCTGTTAATTAATCCAGTATCAATCATAGCCTGCAGGTCGTTGTCCTCCTCATGATTAAGATCATGTCAAAACTCATCTAATTGTTAAAATACTGTTCAGCTTGTACCCATTTGTTTTCCTTTTTTGGAACAATGCTCTCACTCATTCATGTGCTACTAGGCATTTAGATGTTCATATTTCTACTGTCCAATTTTCCTCTCATTTGTAGCAGCCTTTTAAAAATAACATACTATTTATGTAGCTTTAAATTAAAAGTAAATCTGAGTACAAGAAGGTAAAAGTGAGTCAATATAGTTGTGTACATAAAATTATATGTGCAAACAAATAAATAAGCTTGAAGTTGCAGGGACAGTGCAATTTGAAACTTAAGCCAGTAAACCACTGTTACAGTAAATGGTCCCTGTGCACTCAAATGAGAGGGGTGTGGCATTGTGTGTCTGAGTGCAGAGATTACTCACACTGAAGTTAAGTGTGTGTTGCTTATTTAATCTAATTAAGGAGATGTGGGTTCATTTATGAAGTGAATGGACAAAAGTGTGCTCTTACCCATTGACACCGACTTTCACCATTTTGCCTGGGTTGGTCTAGTCCTCTGGAAGGGGAAAAGAGGAGAAACTGATAAGAAAGAACATTCTTCCTATGGAATAATAATCTAATATTTATGATGGCATACATCTATGAGGCTATATATAAACATTCAGTTGATCACAGACAGTTCCTTTAATTGTGTTGACATAAGAAAATAGTTCAAATGAAGAATATTTAAAACTATTACACTGATACACTGTTTTTTTGGGGCAAAGCTACAAGTCAAGAACTTTTCCCCTCCAGTGTAGAAACAGCTGCAAGTCTAAACAAACTTACAGCTTGCAACTAAACTCAGATTTAACACAATGGCATTAAACAAGATGGATTTCAACAGCAACATTATGGTCAAATTAGCTTTAAAATGAGGATCCAGCACAGAGCACATGCTGATTGACTGTCCATAGGTAACCTAAATCTAACCTTTCAGTTCTGGATCCTGTTGCTAAGGCCCTGCAGCGTCCTGACCATAATCATGTAATTAATCATTACTCTATGAAGCCATGCAATTATTGAAGTTGCTTACCGTTTGTGAGATGCCTCAGTCTGTCTTGCGACTCCGGGTGTGAGTGGGGAGAAGCAAAGTTAAGCTGTGAGTTTTTATGATTGACCGAAGCTTTAAACCACGCCCCATAATGGTCAGTGCTCCCCACCCCACCCCCTCCGAATGTCAAGGTCGTCAGTATGTGGAGAGGCATGCACACTGGCCTCTGCAACTTTACCTCAAGTGAGTTAAACACCCCAGAAGCTTGTCTCTTATCATCCCATTTCTGCTGCTAGGCCCAAAGGCCTAAAGTTTGGGAATATTTGCTTTAATTTACATAACTTCAGTAATAGTTCCAGAGCCATCAGGCCTGTCTGGTATTTACGCTTTTAAGAAACCTAGACTGATATAGTAGTAACCTTTTGTTTATTTTAGGTGCATTATTTTCATACTTGTGCAAAAAAGGGAGTGTCTTGTAACAGGTTAAAGTTCCCAGATAGTGCAATAAAAAGAGAGATGGGTCACTCACTGACCTTCTCAGCAAATAGACACAGAAACACAGAGGAGCAGACGAGGGATCAAATCTCTGTCTTCTCACTGACATTTAATGTCCAAAGACCATGACCCTTCACTTTCAAGACAGCCCTCTTTCTCTGCTCCTCTATCCTGTCAGCAGAAATCTTGGACTATCTTGGTTACTTAACATTATACCTGACCATTAACTATGTGCAGTGATCCTTTTTCAGTACATTTACTCAGTCAGATTTTTTTTTTTTTTTGCTTTGTCAGGCTTTGAAATGAGTGGCTGCTAAAACAGAATCTGGATGCTAATAAACATGTCACTGAACGACAGTTTCCTTTGTCTGAACTCAAGTGCTGCACCTAAGGTCCTGGCAATGTGTCACACTGCTGCAAAATGAACTGTCTACACTCATTGCATACAGAAAGACCAGACATGCCCAGTTCTCTTTTCTTGTATTTGTTTTGACTCATTTGTCTGGCAACAGTGTTTATTTGAAAGGAAAGCACTCCTGGGGCCACAATAAAAAGGTAAATCAAAATAATGAGATTGTCAGTTTAAACCAGAGGGCCATTCACTTTGAATCCTGTTGGAAATATCCCCCCGGCTTAATGCTGGGCCCCACCAGCAGGCAGTGCTGACAGTGAATTGAAACCTTACCCTTGGCATGGCATTCCATCCCCATAGCAGACCACGAACATGCAACACATTATATATCTAACCGGACCAAAGATGACACTTAGTGACTTGTATTTTCCACCTCAGCAGATCACGTGTTTAAACATATCTTGTTGCAGGCGGGCAGAAGTGTAGTTCTGCACCATAACTGTTTTATGGCTGCAGTTCAGTGGTCGAGGCATAGCTGAACTTCCACAACCCTGAGTGCATGCGTGCCAGTCCTGGCCTCTGCTCTGTAGCTTTAAGGTCAAAGAGGGGAAATAAAGGTCAGGCTAAGATTAGACACAGGCTGGCAAGCTAACACTTGGACCATGTTGTACTCTCAGTACTGTAAATGCTACCTCATAAAGCTCACATGTTCTTTCTGCATCACAACAGCCAAACCTTACTTATTGTAGAGGAGGGTGACCAGCCATGGATTAAAATATTGGGATTAAGAATAATTATTTTAGCCCAGTAGAAATGCCACTATAAGGATTTACATAAACATTTAACTCTGTATTATTATTCTACTACAAGGAAAGAGTCTTCTAGTTTAATAGAAAGTGCAGTAACAACATGTGACATGCCTGCAATGTATAAAGGGAGCTTTATCTAGACTGATAGCACTTCTGTCGTGTGTTAAAGTCTAATACAAAGTCCAGAAAGCTGCTTTGAACAGGTTAACAAAAATACTCAAACTGCCATCAAGTGTTGTGATGGTAAAACTGCATCTTTTTTTATGTCACTCTTTGAAATTCAACCCAAACACCAAAAGTGATACACTGACAACATAGTATATGAAATATTTATCATTGATTTATGATGTGTAGGGCTGGAATTAACATCTTATTTTAATTACCATTTAATCTGTTAATTATACTGACATGAAAATGTCAGGAAATAGTGAAAAATGCCTGCCACAAGCTGTAAGATCCTGTTTTGCCCCAGCCATTATCCAGAACCCAAAGATATTATATGAAGATGGAAATCTCTCATTTTGACTTTGCCTTACTGTAATTGTTGACCATTAACTTTCATTTACAACTTCCAAGATTTCCCCCCCACTGTTAATTTAGAACATCAGCTTGAAAACCTAACACCGATACAAAACATGACAGCTGATAACAGTAACACTTGCCTGCTAAACACCCTGTAATCAATCAGAAAGGTCTTATTTTTCATACTATCTGTATGAGCTTTAAATAGATAACTGCACCATTTTTATATATTTAGCTCAATTTTCCACTAAGCTTCAAGGTTTTTGCTTTGGAGACTTGGTTATAATCAGTTTAAGGAGCAGGAGAGCCATCATACACAGTTACTGACATTGTATGGACACCTATAACTCAGAATAATAGGGGGAAAAAAGTTACTACACCTAATGGCCAAGGAAGTTTAATAAAGCTCAAAGAGCTAAAAAAAAAAAAGTCATGACAATGTGAAGGACAGATGGAGAAGATGCATTTCAATAAAGAAAAAACAAACTGGGATGCAGCTGTGGGATAGAAGTGAAAGAAGAATTAAATTTCTGTGAGCAAAAGAGACAACACAGCAAGTGTCAAATCCATTTATTCATGCAAATCATAAGTAAACAAACTGCAAGAATCACAGCTACCATCATTTTTGGTAACCGTGTCTTACACAATCCCCTGGACACATAATGACAAAATATCTTCACATTTCCTACACGCAGACAGATCTAGAAATACATAAAGTTCCAATTTAATAAAAAAAAAAAAAAAAAAAGCACAAAGATGATCATGAGATGCAAACATAGCTCACATATTCTAATAATCAGTTTGTGGAAGAAACTACAACTGCGCTGTTAACGACCACAATAGCACGAAGCATCTGATCTATGCTGGATGACACGATGTTAGCAACACTGCAAGTCTACATTATACTGCATTAAGTCTACATGCATGGAAACATCCTTCAGGATGGCAGTCTTTATTTCTCTCCTCTCCCCACTAACAGCCCAAGCCACTCATGGACCCGATCCGATCCAGCTTCAGCCCAAAGCATCCCCGGTTCCACCCTCTCCGTGAGCGATCTGGTTCTGCTCGCTTCTGATTGGTCAGAGCACCCTTCAGCAGGCGCAGCCACTGGGTCTCAGGTTGTGTTTGTACATCAGCCCACTTGGGGTACTCGGCTGCTTTCACTCCAGAGAAAGTGGACTGCTCCTCTGTCTGGCTGTTCAACAGGTTCTCCAGGTCATCCAGGGTCAAGAGGTCATTATAGCGTTCCAGAAACTGCTCCATAAACTGCAGAAAGGAAAAAAGATTAAGTTTAATTGTCAGGCAGTGTACAAGGGAGAATAATTCAATTCATTACTCTCCCATCTTTCTGTACTGCTCTCCAGTATCCACTATCCATCTACTTTGAATTCTCCTCTATTCCCTCTCTTCTACCTGCACAGAATCAGGAGAAGGATGCAGAGCGCGAGCCTCTGTGATCTCCAGGGGCGCCAGGAGGAGCAGAGTGGCACAAAGCAGCACAGGACACAACATGTCAACAGAGATGAAGAGCAGGCAGGACTGGTGCTTAAAGCTGGAAATACACTGGCTGCAAAGACCCAAATACAAATAAAATTATGTGGAGAAACTAACATTATGCAAAAAACAACATATATACACACACACACCATGTATAAAATCTGATAGAAAATGGTACAGATGACAAATTAATGGTTATAATAGTCAATTTTACCAATCCTTAATGTGCATATTTAGCAAGATCCACGCAGTTAAACACCGTTACATAAAGATAAGCAAAGGATGGAATGTATACAGGGCATCTAGCTGAGGCTAATTTGCAGCCCCCGCCCTGGTTAGCTTTTTAAATCTATAACAGAAACAAATGAGCAGATAAAACAGAATGAGGATACCATTACAATTATTTCAAGAGAAAAATGTCCTGCTACATTAAAAAGCTCTCAAAGGTCAATTAATTTGTCAGAAAGTACCGACTAGGTAGCATCCCTTGCAAAACGAGGATTTCATTGTTATTTATGGTAAGCTGTCAGAAGGATGTTTTCTCCTTTTAAAGAGACAAAAATTTAGATTTTGAGAATTACACCTAAGGTTGTTTTGAAACTTTGTTTTTAAATAGCGTAGATACATTTAAAAAATAACAATAAAAAAGCTATATGCACCTATATCCATCATAGTTAATATTTCTAAAGCAATCAAGTACAAAAACAGTTTTGTTTTTTTTGTTTTTTTTTTTAAATACTTGCCTGTTTGTTTTCTGTCAAAGCTCTGGATGTCTTCTCTCACAGACTCTTCTCCATTTCCCTTGCGCTCAGATTCTAGGCTACCTCTCACTTGTTGGTACCTGCTGGGAGCATCACTATCTCACTTGCCTGGCTCCTCCTACCCTTTGCTCTGTGGTGGAACTGAAAGGATGATTTTCTTCCTCTTACGTCTGTCCTCTTGGCAGAAGCTGAATGTTGGGGCTTCAGCTGGGATGCTGCAGACCCCCCCCTCAAAAGATCTTCTTCCTCCTCCTCATCTACTTTTCTATGGAGTGATGTCATACCCTCAGAGAGAGTGATTGTCATTGCCAAGGTGACTGTGGATTTGCTCCTCTGCCATACTGATGCATGCTACTGTACTGCACAAATCGACATGAGAGGACAGTGGTCAGCCAACGCCTCATCAGTGTGACCGCTGAGTTATGAAGTGAACTGGCCAGAAAGATCTGTGCTTTATGTCATGACTTAATCTGAATTATATTCTTCCCATGTGGAAACAATGCTCCTTTTGCACATCAGCCTCCTGCTCTCCACTTTGTCTGTGCAGTCTTTCCCAGCATGTACTGACCTCCCATCTTTGTTGGGTAAGTTACAGTCTGTCAGCGCCATCTGCTCCCTGTAACCCCCTGCCACTAAATTACAACACTAGCAGGAGCTGCACAATTTAACACAGTGAGCTCAAAGTTCAGCAACCTCTGATTAGTTCAAGTAGGTAAAGCCCTGCAATTAGAGATGTACATCAGATATGCAACAGGACTTCATGTCCACGTCTGTCAATTAAATGAAATATTTTCTCTAAATTAAGGTATCTGCAGTGAGCAAAATGTGTGTAGTTTACATACCCAGCAAGCAGAATTCATCTTTGCACAGTACTAGAGTTGTAAACAGGGCACGCTGACTCTTATTTGCACACTTAGCACCCACTGAATACATTTAAACTCCGATAAAACCTAACTGCTTCTGCAATCATATCGTTTGCAAAGTGTCTTTACATAATATATCAATCACACACACAGAAACGCACCGCTCTCATCTTTTCGGAGGACGTGTGGGAGAGGGAGTAGGCGAAAAGAAGAGAGATTAGTGATGAGAACAGAGGGAGGGGGGTTAAACTAGTGAGCATGTGATGTCACTGAAGAGAGGAGCGCAGTAGGAGGAAAAACAGGCAGCAGAGAGTAGGAGGCGGTGGATAGGAGGGAGAAAAGCACTAGGCAGAGAGCGCAGGGAGACCTACAAAAGAGATTGATTATAGGAGCACTGAGGCGGCCAACTAGGCAACAGCAAATGTGTCAGACAGAACAAGAGAAAAAAATTGTAAATAAAGATGTAGCCATGTTCAAGGGTGAGGAACAGCATGAAAGTGTTTCCTATCTGACAAAAAAACTGATGACATAAGCTGTAAAAAAGGGAAAAACAACACTCAGGAAACTGAAGTGAAGAAGCATGCAGGGCAGTAACACTGTCTGAGCAAGCTGTGGCATCCCATTAAACACTGCTATCCAAACACATATTACAAGTGGACTTCCAAAGCTGCTTGTAATGATGGCATAAATCTACTTGACACAACCTAGCAGACACCCAAACCTTCACACACACTTGTTGTCAGCTTTTTGGAGTTTTCTGCAGTGTGCAGAAGCCAGAGAGTGACACAGCTCAGACTTAGCAAGTTTAATAAAGATGCTATGTTTCATTTCAGATAAAATACCACAAAATTAAAAAAATTTAAAAAAAAAGAAAAATAAAATCAGTTTCTGAGGCGAGTTCGTCTGGATGTGCGAGCGATAGGTGTCGTCACTTTAGGAGTCTCACTCTCTGCCATTACAGCATCTGACGGAAAAAACAGATCAAAAATTAGAACTTGATGGATGGAGGTCAGTGGAGGCCACAAAAAGAGTTTTTCAGGAATGGTTTCACTGGAGGTCTTTTTCAATGAGAACATTATAATTTTTTGTAATTTCATGCAGACAATCTGTAGTGAGTCAAAATTTGTAAATTGAACATTTTTAATTCATGCTGTTTTCTAGCAAATCTATCAGAGGAATCCTGAGAGCTTGGATTAGTGCTACTGCAGTGCACAGCTGTCTTAAGACCACCTGAGGTACAACAGTCCTAGATCTTCTTAGAAAGCTGTCTAGTGTGTTTTAGCTCACTAGCACAACCACTCGGAACTTTGCCAGAGTACTCCCAGTATTAGTGACATTAATTTAATTTATACATAATGTCAATTTAAGTACAATAAATATAAAGCTGAAACACTTTGTTGGTTAACTGACTGAATAATGACACATTTAAGCAAAAATAACTTTCCCTCCTTCAGCGTCGAAAATGTGGATGTAATTATTCTTTGCTTTAGGTGACAGTAAACTGAATATATTGGGGTTTGTATTTGTACAAAACAAGCAGTTTGAAGGCTTTAGGAAAGTGATGGTCATTTTTCACTATTTTCTGACATTATATAGATAATTACACTGAGAAAATTGTCAGACTAATCAGTGATGAACCTAAAAATTTTTTTTTTTTACTTTAGCTAAAATAATGACTGAATAAAGTGGGCCACACTCACCCTGTTCATCCTCCTCCTCATCCTCATCACTGCTGAAGGTGATCACAGGTTTCTTGGACCTGCGAGATTTCTGAGGCGTCACAAAACTGTCATCACCGTGGCTGGATACTGAAGGCTTTGTTTGACCTGTGCCAAAGAGCAGTTTATTTTATTACAATCAGACACTAATTAAGCACATTTGCAACCAACAGGTTCCTTGAAAGTCAAATCCCAGAGCACTAACCTCTCCTAGATTTTTGACGACCTCTGGGGGGCAAAGGTGTACGCACGACTGTCTTCTCAGTGGGTCCTCCTCCTTTTTGGTTCTCTTCTTCCATTTCAGGACTTTCTACATTTTCTAGCCCCCGTGTGTGAACCGCACTCAGGCGCTTTTCAAACTCCTCTATCTGAGCCTAGTAAACAAAATTATCACCAGTAAACACAAACAATTAATACACCAACATTAAAAAAGCAACATCTTCAAATTAGAGTACTATATCATACCTTAAACTGGAGTTTGGCCCCACGTCGGAGCTTGGCAGTAATGGAGAGCAGAGGCTCGTAGACGCCAGGTTCAGTCAATTTGTCACTGTAACACTCCCAGCACTCGTGCAGCCTCTTAAACCCACGCTCACACATGGACAGCAGAGACAGAGACATGGCCAGATCACACCACTGACGCTCTGTCCTGAGAACAGAAGTAGAATAAGAGTTATAGGACTTAGGGGCTAAATCTGATTAGAAGCTATGCAAGACAAATTCTAGACAACAACAAAAAACTTGGCATTTGGACCCAATCTCATTTTCCAGGAGCCTTTTATATCTAAATTCACTTTGCCATTGTGCAATATAAAATGCTCTGAGCTCTCTGTATGGATACGAGTCAGAGACAGACTGAAGCATGGCTCAGCCAACTGTTCTATCTACATTCCTCAATTATATGGGAAGACAGTTTCCATGACAAAATGAGCTTGTAAGTGACAGGTGAGCGGAACTGTGAACTCACTTTGTTAATCTCTCTTCACATACTAAACATCCACTAACTACCCACACACATCCACCCCTGTATCTTACCTGAATAAAATAATGCAGGACAGATTATGGAAATAAGCAGTGAAATGAAAAAACAAAAGATGCAGGTCAAAGGGGTGAAAGAGAGGAGGTGGTGATGTACTCACTTGGCAGTCCTAAAGCGCTGACACAGTTTCTCTACCAGAGACTCTGTCTGTCTTTCTTTGGTGATGTAGGAGAACAACTGTCTGATAAGACACAAAAACACAGCATCTAAACAAAGTTCTCAAAATAGCAAAGCAGGCAACAAAAGTGAAGACGTGCAACTTACTTCATTATGGTGTTGAAATCGTCTGCACTCATGCCTCTCTCTGGATCAGACAGACGACTGATGATGTCTGGGAGCAGGTTGTAGATTGCATTGTCCTGACAGGTGACACAAAGTAGAGTTCAAAACCCTCAGAGTTATTCAGGCTCCTATAAGGGCTCTGGATGTGTGTTATTAGTGTGCACGTACCTTGGACGCCAACTCATTGAAGAAGTTCAGGGCGAGGCTGGTAATGTGCGGCTCAGGGTCAATTAGAAGCACAGCCACTTCACTGACTTGACCTTTGACCTTGAGCACATCCTTGAGCACCAACTGAGTAAGAACTGTCACAGCTGTCCGCCTCACTGAAGGAACCTCGTCACTGAGCCTGGACAAGAAGAGAATGTTAAATTACTGGCCTGTTCATCGTCTACCTCTTTGGCAGCAAAGACATTTTAGCATCTTAAGTTTAGCATGCTATCATTTGCTAATTAGCACTAAACACAAAGTACACCTTAGTGGTGGAGTCTTACATGAACACAATTTACTTGGTTTTGGTTATTGCACATGACAGATGTCTGTCTGTCTTCTGTACTAGCTTTTCTCACTGAGGTGGATGGGGCTCAGTTTGGAAAAAGGTGATGATACAAATTTCTGTGGACCAATACAGAATTTATCAACATATGAAGCTCTGGAAAGAAGCCAAAGTACTTGGAGAATATACACACAGGCATGAGGAGAACATGCAGACTCCACTCAGAAAGACCCTGGTCTACTGCAAGGTTTGAACCTGGAACCTTCTGTCAGTTGACAGTGCTAACCAATGTGCTACCTGTAAATATTTATTATTACAAAGAAATACTCAAGATTTCAAACCACATTTTCAAAGATTTCAAGGGATCACCAAATATTCTAAAAATAAAATTCATCCCAAGAGGAGCATAGACATTTGTTTGATGCTGTTTTTGTGACAATCCATCCAATACTTACTGACATTTTACTCAAAATTACAAATGTGAATCTCATGGTGAGAGAAGATGAAAAGGGAACACCAAAGCCCGGTTTTGACAAACATGAATGTCAGTACCAAACAGTGTGCCAGTCCATCCAGTAGATGATTGAATTAAATCTTTAATCTACAGGTAGGGCTAGAGGAAAAGGTCAGAGGATTCATCCACTGAAGAACCTGAATATCTGGCAATCGATCCAGTAGTTACTGAGACAAAGTAGTAGACTAGCCGATAGATTAACACCGCCATTCGTTTAAGCACTACGCTGACATGGCTAAAAATATGGACAGAGATAAAAATGTCTTACCACCTGTGCTTTTTTTCCCCAGTCCTAGTTTATTAAGGTTTCTGTAAAAACTTGGAATCTGCCAGAACATTAATGAAGCCAAATAAATGTCACAGTCTCAGCTGAATAAAATGCATTTAAAATGGACAGACTGTGGCAGGGGAATCCGATATCATTCTGAGAGTAATTCATTGGTACCCTCACCAAAAACCAAAATACAAAGAAACTCATTAACCATTTCTCATTTATACCAGAGAGCAGGACTCCTAGCAGAGGATCAGGCACTTGTACATGGCACTTCCACATGCTAGTGCAGGGGCTTACAACAGCAATGAACAGGGTAATTAATTCTTAATGCGCTTATCAGGAGGCTCCAGGGCAGCAGCCTTCAGAACAGTGGAGGTGGCATGTGGGAGACAATTAGGGAACACTATGAAATACTTATCGGGTAGAAAACACTGGGAGGGCAATGACGCATTTTAAAAAGAAGAGAATGTTTTACATTATCTACCATTATAATTAAAACTGCACTTCATCAAAGAGACCAATTCCTAAGTTGGCCATTGGGAACCAATGAAACTGGTATAGAAGGAGCAGGCAGAAACCATGGGGTGTTTTTAAAATGAAAGTGCACCTACAAGCGTAAACCCTTGTAGAACCTTTGACTTTGTGTGAAATGACCTCCTTCTGCACATTCAACTGCTCTGTATAATTATAACAGATTACTCACTGGTTCTAGTCAGTCTGTAACACACCAGTAATTAGGCTGTTGTCTAAAGATGCCCTCGTCTGATGTGGTCTAAGGCTCTTCCTCAGTTCACGAAAGGTAGGTTTCCTAAAAGCCACAAAACGCTTACTTGTTCCCATGGCAACTGCAGAGGTCATGGTAAAAGGCAGATAGCTTTCCAACATCATCATCGTCTCAAAGTTTGTTTCAATGAAAAAGTCAGGATGGAAACACTAAACTTTTTCATCATGTGGCTCAGTGGAGCACTGTGACAGTGGCAACATTTCAGTGTCTGAGAGAAACAACACACAGAGGTAGTTGTGGGCTCTGGATGATGATGGCTCAACTGAACAAGCACAAGGGGAATGCTGGCTGAGAAGAAATGCCATGTACAGTACGCCCACTCAGCTCAGCCATCGAGTGTAGCTCGTTCCTTATAATCTTGAAGGGACAAAACAAATCTACAATTATTATGGTATTGTGCATCTAATTGGAAGACAGTCAATTAGTGCTGGGTTATATGAGCATGAACTACTACTGGGCTGTTCAATTTAAATGTGTCATTACATTTAGAGATGCACCGAGTGACATTTTCGGGGCCGATACAGATTTTATTTATTTATTTATTTATTTTTTTAAGTCTGACCTGCAGATTCAGATTTTCTTTTGTTCTAAAAACTAATTGACAGAATACAAAAACATTTTTATAATTTGTCTTTAATGAAAAATTACATTTTCATAAAAATCCGTTTCTCAATTTTTTAACAAACCAAGTAAAAATGAAGTGCAATATTTGTACTTCCAATATAAACAGGGGCAACAGGTTAGCAGAAATAGAACTGTCTGTCACATCGTTCTTACTGTGCACACAGTTCTTTTTTTCTTCTTCTTTAGTCTGAAGAACAGCACTCTGTATTTCCTCGTTGCTTACATAATGGCAGGTGACTGTCACGATTCATTTGGAGTGCTGTTCAGGCATCTGTGGTCAGACACACCTTTTCAACACTTGTCAAACAACTACACAGCTCACATGCATTATCATCATAGTTTATCCAGTCATGCCATGACTGTAGTCTCTATGTTTCTGCTGTTTGCATTTGGTGTCGTAGTAAAATGACATACTGACCATATAAAAATAAGGGAAAACATTGGCTCTTTGTTTAATAAAGGCAAAACCATAGTCAAATGAAATATATGTATTTTTTTTTAATTTAATTATTATATGAATATCATTGTCCACCCCTAGTAAGTGTACAGTGGGTACGGAAAGTATTCAGACCCCCTTAAATTTTTCACTCTTTGTTATATTGCAGCCATATGCTAAAATCATTTAAGTTCATCTTTTCCCTCATTAATGTACACACAGCACCCCATATTGACAGAAAAATACAGAATTTGACATTTTTGCAGATTTATTAAAAAAGAAAAACTGAAATATCACATGGTCATAAGTATTCAGACCCTTTGCTCAGTATTTAGTAGACGCACCCTTTTGAGCTAATACAGCCATGAGTCTTTTTAGGAATGATGCAACAAGTTTTTCACACCTGCATTTGGGGATCCTCTGCCATTCCTCCTTGCAGATCCTCTCCAGTTCTGTCAGGTTGGATGGTAAACGTTGGTGGACAGCCATTTTCAGGTCTCTCCAGAGATGCTCAATTGGGTTTAAGTCAGGGCTCTGGCTGGGCCATTCAAGAACAGTCACGGAGTTGTTGTGAAGCCACTCCGTTATTTTAGCTGTGTGCTTAGGGTCATTGTCTTGTTGGAAAGTGAACCTTCGGCCCAGTCTGAGGTCCTGAGCACTCTGGAGAAGGTGTTCGTCCAGGATATCCCTGTACTTGGCCACATTCATCCTTCCCTCGATTGCAACCAGTCGTCCGGTCCCTGCAGCTGAAAAACACCCCCATAGCATGATGCTGCCACCACCATGCTTCACTGTTGGGACTGTACTGGACAGGTTGATGAGCAGTGCCTGGTTTTCTTCACACATACCGCTTAGAATTAAGGCCAAAAAGTTCTATCTTGATCTCATCAGACCAGAGAATCTTATTTATCACCATCTTGGAGTCCTTCAGGTGTTTTTTAGCAAACTCCATGCAGGCTTTCATGTGTCTTGCACTGAGGACAGGCTTCCGTCGGGACCCTCTGCCATTCCCAAACGTCTTCCCTTTAAGGATTATGGAGGCCACTGTGCTCTTAGGCACCTTAAGTGCAGCAGAAATTTTTTTTGTAACCTTGGCCAGATCTGTGCCTTGCCACAGTTCTGTCTCTGAGCTCTTCAGGCAGTTCCTTTGACCTCATGATTCTCATTTGCTCTGACGTGCACTGTGAGCTGTAGGGTCTTATATAGACAGGTGGGTGGCTTTCCTAATCACGGTCAATCAGTATAATCAAACACAGCTGGACTCAAATGAAGGTGTAGAACCATCTCAGGGATGATCAGAAGAAATGGACAGCACCTAAGTTAAATATATGAGTGTCACAGCAAAGGGTCTGAATACTTATGACCATGTGATATTTCAGTTTTTCTTTTTTAATAAATCTGCAAAAATGTCAAATTCTGTATTTTTCTGTCAATATGGGGTGCTGTGTGTACATTAATGAGGAAAAAAATGAGGTTAAATGATTTTAGCATATGGCTGCAATATAACAAAGAGTGGAAAATTTAAGGGGGTCTGAATACTTTCCGTACCCACTGTATATGCATCTTATGTGTAGCCAGTAGTTCCCTCAGTGTTTACTATCTGTTGGAGATTTAGACATAGTTTCCCCTTCCCCAAGGTGTTTCTGTAGGCTCCTCTGTACACTGCTTGTACACCAGATGGTTCCAAAGTGTGAGTGAACATGCGCTCCACACACACGAGCATTTGATCTGTGCCATTGCGTGTGCGATGTGAGCTTTTGTGCCTTTAAATATGACTGACACACAGTCAGATACCTCAAGAGTGGCCGTTCACATTGAAAACCAGCCATTTCTGATGTCCGCCAATCAATCAGTGCATCTCTAATTACATTACCTGGCATAGAGATTCTGCGTCCAGGGCTCCAAAATGTTCGGGAAACGGACAGTGAGGTCTCCAAGAGCTATTATGGCATTGGCCCTGACAACAGGAAGAGTAGAGCGCTCCAGCACTGTAAACATGAGACGAATATTCTCCTCACACACCGACGGGCTGACAAAGGATAAAGAAAGCATTAATCAACATTAAAAGGTATTTCAATAGCTAAACTCACTCCATTTAGTCAAATATAGGAGTGTACTAACAAATATTTTCAATAATTTATGATAAGTATTGTTTGGCCCATAAAATGCCAACTAGCATAATATTCCCATTTTATTAGCTGGAAGCAGTAAATGTTTTGCCTTTTTAGTTAAAAAGCTTAATTTTTGTGCTGTTGGCTTAACTGATTAATCAACTAAGTAGTTCAGCTTTATATGTGTATGGTGACAGAACATAGGAATAGGTAGTGTGTTTACCTTATCATCATGTACTGAGAGAGTGCCAGACAAGCAGCAGTGGTGAGCTGTGGATGGGAATAACGTCCTGGTGAGCTGCAGACTTTCACCAGCAAAGGAAGAAACGCACACAGCAGGTTCTCCTCTAACCAGACAGGGTGGGAAGATGTTTAAGTGATATAAAACATCTGCAGTACCAAATATACTCACTGGCCACTTTATTAGGTACATCTGTACAATTTTATGCAATTCAATGCAACCCTTCCATCTTAACATCTGCATTTATGAAACAAAGTGTTAGTTTTTGGTGAAACTGTCATATATATATAAAATAATGTTTTTTGTTTTTTTTTTTAACTGAGATCACAGTTAAAGGTGGTATTGTCCTGGACTACATCATATTCAGATGTGTTTGTTTTTGTTCTCCCTAGCTATATGCATGAGGTGGTCAGAATATTAGGAACATCTCAGAATATAATGTAGTACAGGACAATACCACTTATACTCAATAATAAATGTGGAATTGAATTTCTACAGTATACAATTTCAACAAAAACAAACATTTTGAACTTCATAAACACAGATGTTAAGGTGGAAGTGTTGCAATGAATTGCATACAATTGTACAGGTGTGCCTAATAATGTGGCTGGTGAGTGTTTATTATGTGAAGAACTGAATTTAGTTCACAGTGAACAAGGGTCTTTGCATGTGAGGCAGAAAAACAAAGCAAGAGGGTTCATTACCAGCCAGTAATTCTGTCTCACAGATCTTTCTGATGAGTTCAGCCTCTGTGTCTTCAGCAGAGGCACCGATCAAACCAAGTTCCTCCTCCATAGCACTCTCACTGGATGGTTGCTGTTGGAAAAATACAGCTGCTTCTGAGCACAAACTGACCCACCTCCTTCACTTTAAATAGAGATAAATCTGAGCTTTGAAATGTAAAATAAGGCTGTAGTACAATCAGGCCAATACGAGGTTACCACAAATATATTTTATTGATGTACACGTTGGCCAGCGAGTAACAATACTGCTACACCAACAAACGTTTGACGTCACCAAATAGCTCTGACAAGTTTAACACCGTAAAATGTCCCACTCAGTATGCATTTAGTTCATAGTGCTTAAAAAACTAATCTAAGGCATCCCATCAAGACTGTTGCTTAAGTTAAAACTACAATATGTAACTTAAGGTAGCACTAGCATGAAACTCCAAATCAATCCACTCTGCTCTACTACACCACCACGCTCTCCCCAGGTCTTCAGATATTTGTTATGAAGTTACAAAAAAAGAAAATGCAACAGAACTCACTGATCAAACACAAATTAATGAAAATCTGTGCTCATAAGCTCATAAGCTTTTAGAAGCTAATCTCCCCATACTGCTGCCAGTGCTGTTCAATCAAACAGAGCCACAACAGGCTTCAACAGCACCTTCCCACATTAAGGCAAGTTTTGGAACATATTCCAAAAATATTTTAAGGAATTAAAATAAAAAAAGTTACATACCGTAGCTTTAAAAATTACTTCCTGCAGATATATTTTCAGTTTCTTAAAAGCTCCCAAATTTAATTTATCATCTCCAAATCCAGTATCAGTCTGGTTATACTGCCCGTTTCTCGCCAGTCTGAGAGGCAGGGGGACCGACTTCTCATTTAGGAAATACTGTTCTAACTACATGGTGAAGTAAAACAAATAGTAGACAAGAAGGAATGCAGAGGATAATGATAGTAAAATTGTGTATATAAAATCTGCAATTTTGTGAATTTGTGGGGTGCTGTTAACCTATGAACCATGCCAGCTCTGGCAGTTCATATTTACAACCCTATTTCTTGTCCTCGTCTACTTTTGGTTACAGCAATCAAGTAAATGTCACCTTGTGAATTCTGGTCTGACAGTAGCTTAACGGAATACTTAATACTTTCGGTATAAAACACTGCCAACAGACTTGAGGCGGCTACAACAGATTCCAATAGTGACACATTTCGACAGATGACAAAACACTGATCACTAAAAACATCTTTATGTACTATGTGGCATTCTAAGTTTGAAACCATACAACAATTTTGTTGTACGTCATGACTTTTCTTCTCTATAGTTATCCAATAGAAAAATGTGAAACAGAAATAAAATTGAACTAAGGCTTCTAACGGTAATGAAGGAAACAATCTTCCTGTTCCCTGATGGGCTGAACAATTAGGAGCCATCAATCATCTGACTGTGTCACTAAAATAAATCTCATCAAGCGATCCTGCTGAGACTCGGTTTGAGTGACAAAACGTTTTTCACAACACGGGGAACTGTTTGAAATACATTTGCTGCAAACAGGCAAATGACATTTCAATCTGTCAAGTTAAAATGCATCTAATCAAGCTTTACACTATGAAATGAAGTAGAGCTCCAACCAAGGATTATTTTTATGACTGTTTTTTCCACTCGATCAATTTTTTGTCTATTACAAAGTAATAAAAATGTCTATTCCCAGAGCCCAAGGTGAAATATTCAAATTGTTTTTGTACAAGCAATGGTCTAAATTAAGTTAAACAATAATAGGAATCAGAGAAAGAGAACAAATCCTCAGGCTAAAGGAAGTGGAACCATGGGATGTTTGGCTTCGTGACTCACTCATATACCATCTGAATTGACTGAACTTTCAAAAACCCAAATGTCTGCACAGGAAAATCATAAATAAAAAAAATAAATGTAAAAATAGATTGCAATTTAGATATTGCATCATATGCAGCTGTCTTTTACTGATTTTTAAATGTTCAAAATTATGCTTGTCACTCTTTTACATTTAAATACCAATGTTAATGTGGTTGAAATCATCACAAAAATTCATGCCTGTTGATTTTCTGACAGTCTAGGAGTGTGTGTATAGAAAGAAAAAAAAAAACAAATAGTTTAATACAGCTCTAAATATATTTGTGGCCAATCGCAATTTCATCTTTACTTTAGCCAATGTACTCAACAAGGGCACAACACTGAACTGCTTTACACACTTGTACAGTTTACAGGTGTTATATACAAGGCTCTGCAGCCTCGTTACCTTAGCTTTGGTGGATGGACCCTTTTCCTTCTCCTCCCTCTCTCCTCTCCTCCTCCGCAGCTCAGAGCTCACACTTCGCTCAAGGTAAGACACCTGCCAGAATGCGACGCAACCACACAGAGACAACAGCTGGGCCAGACACACACAGTTCACTGCAGGAGAGAAAGTGTGTATGCATGATAAAGAGTAGGCTGCTAACGTTCAGGGCACTAGAGCAGGTTATGCAGCATCAGTGTAGACATCAGATTACATCAAGGCCAAGTCAAACTATACTTAACACTACAACATTAGTCTTCTTTAATATGAGCCACTATGTGACTCACCTTGTTCACTGGACTCTTGAGATGCTTCAGCGTTTTGGCCAGCATCATTGTTGATTTCTCCACCTTCTGCAATTTGATCTAGTAAGAGGCGAGCACTGCGCTGAAGCAGCCGGGAGCACAGCTGGTCAGGAGATTCAGCCAGGAAGTAGATGAGACGAACAGCCTGTTCCATGAAGCTCTGCCAGTAATGGTCTTCCATGACCACACCTACAGCAAGTACCAATAGACACAGTCAGACAAAGAAACCACAAGTGGTGAAAGCTTAGAAAAATTATTTCTCAACATTTGTCTGTATTTACCTTCAGCTATGGCCTGGGTGAGGCAGCTGAAGAGCTGATGGTCCTGGGGCAGCCTGAATGGAGCACCTTTTGATTGCTGGTAGAAACAACGTGCATTATGCTAACATTGTGTAGAACCCTGCTGCATGTGGCTTTGCCACAAACTGAGTTTACACATGCAATGAATATGACAAAATTGTGATATTACTAAAAAAAACTTTATGTGGCCTATGCATGAACAAATGCATATTCCTTTAAAACAATATTAAGTATATGTTGAGCTGTTAGAGGGCTCAGGGATCTCCAAACAGAAGACTACAGTTAAATCTGCTGATAAGACAAACCTTTGGGACCCTTTCACACAGCAAGGCCCTCTGGCCATCCAGAAAAGCTTAGAAACAAACCATGGCTTAGGTCCTCTTACCCTAACATGGTCAGTGATGTTGCAGATGGTGGTAACAGTGTCTCTAGCCAGAAGGAAGTCATCAGTAACTTTTTCTCCCAGAGCCACAGAACAAAGTGTGTCCAGATTACTGAGAACCACCTCACTCTCTGCCCTGTTACATTCACATGCATACAAAACAGACATTTGAGAGGTGTTAAGCCTATGTTTCTTTCCACAAATGGTGTAATTATGCAAAGTGAAGTAATAACATCTCTGCCCTATACCACCTCAAGTACTGTTGCTTGTGCCACTGCTAGGCTGCTGCCCAGTTAATGCATGTTAGGAAAAGCATTTAAGATTTAATAGGTTATGAATGCTGCCTGCCGGATGAAGGGAGGCAGCAGTGTGGGTGGACTGCAGATAGTCTTTTTACTCTCTCACTCTGCCCTACAATAGCAGTCTTTGAGGTAGACACAGAGGTAGATTTAGGGGGAACACACACACACACACATATATTTAGTGAAATGCACTGGCAAAAAGCCTAGTTATATGGTCGTGACTTCAATTACAATGAAAAGAAGCCATGGCTGAGCTCGTATTCTGACTAATGAGAGGATTTGCTGAATGTCAATGTCAGCTGAGGCAGGACCTAAAACACTGAAGGAAATGCCTTATGTGTTGAGGAAAACCACAGATTTCACATTGTCCTTTTTTCAGTTAATCAAGTTCATTTTAAAACATGCAGCTCTAACAATTACATTTCTTTCCTGCCAAAACACTTCTGTTCATATTTCAGAAAGTTATGGTACTGCAACTACTATATTATTTGGGACTACTGGCTTCTTCCACCTGACAGAACCTGAGCAACTGCAAAGTAGACAAAATTGAGCTTTTTCATTCAAAGTTCTGCTACGTTTCATGATATGTATAAAGATTCAATCGAGCAAAAACTGTCACCTTAAAAACCAATGCATTTTCGCACCTGTTGTATTCAACACAAATTATAGTGGGAACATAAGATTCAGCAACAGTCAGACACAAATGCAATTTACCAAGCTGTTGGTGAGAATGGACTGTTCAGTACATCAAAAACATCATGACTCAGTCTGAAATTTGCCATGCACTAGCCCCTTGTTCATATTAAACAAAAGCATAAGAATGCACAGCACCTGCAAGCACTAACATAACAAAGACAAAGCTGTCTATGTTGCCTTTTAAGAAATGTGACAGTATGCTGTAGTGCATCATGTGTAATTATCATAGAACTTGGGATATTTGTTTTGGCTGACATCCCCACCAACTCTACTGCACTGTGAAGTGTGTGCAGATGATTTACCACCATGAACTGAATCTTACATTTTCCTGCCTTAAACACCTAACAAAAATGTTTACACTCACTGTGACTACTTATCTCCTCATGTTACTCTACATGACCAGAGCAGGTGGGGCTAAGCCACTTTGTGCTGCCCCTTTAAAGCAGAGAAATACATTTAGCCAAAATTACCAGTCAGTCAAAGGCAAGAAAATTAGAATTCTTATCTTGAATAAGTTGGCATTAACCCTTTTACTCATCATGGCATACAAAATGTATTTCCTAGGAGGACACTTGAAATAGTCTGTGTCTTACCGTGCAGCCATACCCAGCAGCAACACCGCTGCTCGTCTGTGTAATCCAGAAGTCTCTCGTTTTCCAGTAAATCTCTCCCACAAAACCTGCACTACAGTGGACTGCAGATTGTTTCCACTGCCAAAAAACTCCTGCACCTACAGAGACATGCAAGAATGGGTACAACATCCCATACGCTTTACTACAAGGTATATAAATCTACCATGCAGTGGGCAACTTTTGAAAGAAAACATACAGTACTCATTACAAACATAGGAGTAGGTTACTCACTATTTCCTCAAGACATTGGATTGTTCCCAGAGATGCATCCACCATCAGCTCAGAGAGACTGTCCACAAGAGTATGAGCTTTCATCCTAAGAAACAAGACAGCAGCTTTTAAGAAGACAACAAAAAAACAATCTCTAAGTGTTTTTAGATATTACTTGTAACACTTTATGGTTTTGACTTTGTATGCTTGTATCAAACAAGCCCTTCAAATATGTATGTTTATATAGTCCTTTAAATTCAATGAACATTCAACAAGCTACAGTCATGGCCAAAAATGTTGGCACCCCTGCATTTCTGTCAGATAACACACCACTTCTCCAAGGAAAATGTTTCAATCACAAATTATTTGGTATTCTCTTTTTTATATATATTTTGTTTGTATTAATCAACACAAAAAAGCAGGAAAAAAAATCCAAATCTGACACATTCCACACAGAACTCCAAAAATAGACTGGACAGAATTATTGACACCATTTCTAAATCATCAGAAATAGTTGTATGTGAAGCATCTGTTGTTCCTTTAATTTGAAATGAAACTCACCTGTAGCAACCAACAGGTGCCAGCAATATAGAAATCACACGTGCAACCAGTTAAAATAGAGAAAAGGTGACTCAACCTTTGTGTCGTGTGGACCACACTGAACATGGAGAAAAAAAAGAAGAGCAAAGAATTGTCTGAGGATTTGAGAACCACAATAGTGGAAAAGCATGGACAACCTCAAGGTTCCAAGTCCATTTCCAGAGATCTGGCTGCTCCATTGTCAAGAAGTTTACAGCCCATGGCGCTGAAGCTAATCTCCCTGGACGTGGACGAAAGAGAAAAATAGATGACGGATTGTTTGAATGGTAGATCAAGAACCTCGATCACCTTCCAAACAGATTCAAGATGACCTGCAGGCACAGGGTGTAACAGTGTCAGCTTGCACAATCCATCGCCATCTGACTGACAAGGGACACTATGGCAGGAAATTCAGGTAGACCCACTGACACAGAAACATTAAAAAGCCAGACTGGAGTTTGCCAAAACTTACCCGAGAAAGCCACAATACTTTTGGGACAATGCCCTGCGGACGATCGAGACTAAATCGAGCATATCATTTTACCGTTTTCAGAAAATGAAACAAGGCCTCCAAAGAAAAGAACATGGTCTTTACAGTCAAACATGGTGGATGTTCACTGATGTTTTGGGGTTGCTTTGCTGCTTCAGGCTCTGGATGTCTTGACAGTGTGTATGGCATTATGAAATCTGAAGACAACCAATGAATTCTGGGGCACAGTGTAGAGCCCAGTGTCAGAAAGTTGGGTCTCCATCAGAGTTCATGGGTCTCACGGCAGGACAATGACCCAAACCAGAGTTCAAAAAGCACCAGAAATGGTTTCAGACAATGTGCTGGAGAGTTCTGAAGTGGCCAGCGATGAGTCCAGATCCCACAGAGCCCCCGTGGAGAGGTCTCAGAACAGCAGCTGGCAAAAGAATTGTCCAAAATTCCATTAGAGAAGTGTAAGAAACTTACTGATGGTTATAGGAAATGACTGATTTCAGTCATTTTGTCCAAAGGGTGTGCTACCAAATAAACTATGGGCATCAATATTCTCTCCAGTCCATTTTTGGACTTCTGTGTGGAATGGATCAGATTTGGCTTTTTTCTGTGATTTTTTTGTGTTGTTCCAATGCAAACAAAAGAAATAAACATGAGATTACCAAAGAATTTGTGATTGCAACAATTTTCATGGAGAGGTGTTACATTATCTGACAGAAATTGTATATATTGTATGTTAGCCTGGGCGGCCTAATGTTTAATTGATAGCAGTGAACTGCTACTTGAATCTCTTGATGATCAGACTCCTAGTGTCAGAGAGCTTTCTGGTTCTAACCCCCACCCCCCCATAAATTAGGTCCCTTCATGCTGTCTGTGAGAAACGGTTTTCCAGACCTGATTGTGTCTCCTCGAGGGTTCAGATAAAGGCGCCTGTAGGCCTGAATGACAGCGTCTTTAACAGTCATGTCAGTTGACCAGACAAGTGGCAACATCTTCCTCACTCCACTGACAGAGTTGGCAACACTGAACTCGCATACAGTCACACAAAACTGCACAGCCTCCTGGACCACTAAAAAAAAAAACACAAAACACTTCTGTTGTATGTTGTACAAATGTCTCCACCTCAGTAAGTGAATTCAAACGTTACACTGAAATGCACAAGTTTGAAACAGTTTGCAGGTTTACAAATGTTGCCTTCTACCTGAAGTGGTTTTCCAGTAGAGCATGGTGTTGATAACAGAGATTGCTCTCTCTACTTGTAAGGCAAAGGTTTCTGTGTCTCTCAGGTACTGCACCAACATCTCCTGCTTCTTGATCTCCTCATCCTCCCCCTCTTTTGCGCTCTCTCTCTGTGGGGTTGGTGGCAAGTTTTGACTGAGCTCAACATTGTCCTCACCAGAACCTGAGAACACCACCAAAGGGCCATATAATGTGAAGCTAGCATTAAATGGAAAAAAGGAATTTAACCAATAAACTGCTCACTTTCTGCTTGATTACACAACACTCCCTTCAGCTGCTGCACAGAAATTTTGTTAAATCTCTGCCCTTTGCTCTAATGCTTTTAGTGTATATAAGTGTAACGTTTACATTAAAGTATAAGCCGTCAAATTCTGATAGCCTTTCCAGTAGCTTTTCTGGTGTCTGCCAGTCTTACAGTACAGGACCAAATGTGTATATATGAAGTTGACCATAGCAGCTTCCACCTAGTGGAAATGCTGTCAAACAGAATAAACGGGCAAAGGCAGAAACTCTGTGTAAAGTCTCCTGTATGCAGTGCTTCAGGTAGGAGCTGAGTATCACTGGTATGCAAAAAGGCTCAGTTATATATCGAGTTCAATAATCACTTAGCTTAACCAACTTAGATATAAATTAACAGGAAAAAGCCTGCACTTAAAATGAAAACATTTCCTTTAACTGCAGTGCAGCTGAGGGGTCAATTCATTTATAAATGTGATTTACAGTTTCCCGTTTGAAATACTGATTTGTGTCAATATCTGACAACCCTTAAAACCCTGTCAACACAAACAAGAAAGGCTTAGATCTGAAAAGCCATTACAGGTACTATGGTAATGTTCAACTGATTTGAACAAGTAATTTTTAGCAAGGAAAAAAACCTAGTGATCTGACATAGCTGTATAACTGCCACAAGTGTTGGTGGGGTTATGCACCAAACTCAGCATTGTGAAATATATTATAATTGCACTAAAGTATAACCTCAACTCACACTGGCAATGTTACATAATATAAAATGGTAAGATTTATTGAAAGAATGTAAAATGAATTTCATCTAAAGAACTGAATCTTAAACATGTTTAGTCTTGTTTGCATTAAGACTCACAGTGGACAGCATTTTCGATGACTACATCAGGATAGAAATACATAAAGTGAACGGAGCACAGATTTTACCTTTGAAAATCAGAGCCAGTGTATCGATGACAGTCTCTGCAGTGAGAGTGGACAGAGAAGCAAAGATCTTGGATTCAGGAAAGCAGCTGTGAGCTCTCATACAAAGGCGCACAGCATTCCTGTCGAGGGGCAACATAAAAGAAATTTCACACAAACTGTTGAATTGATAGCGGGGGGGAATCCTACAGGCATTGACACGTCTGCTTTTACACAGACCAACAATAGTGATGAACATCACCTGTATTTGTTGACACGGAGATACTGAGCAATCTTCACTGCAGTTGCTCTGTCATCTTCTGCTTCATTTTCTTCTCCCACATCCCCGTCTTCCCTGTCCTCCTGCTGCTCCTTCTCTGCTTCGCTTGTGGGCTCCAGCTCTGCCCTGACAGTGATAAGCAGTTCAGGCTCCATGGCGGCCCACAGCTCAGATGCTTTAATCACTGCCACTGCCAGAAGGAAGATAAACATATTCATCAGGTCTGGTGAGGATGCCTGAGGTTATAGCTACAAAAAAATACTTCAGAGAAACAATCAAATATTTATCTGGCAGTAGAACAATAGTAACAAAGCACAGTGTAATACTGGGTTTTAGAATACAGGGCTCATTTGGTTGTATTTTTATTATCTTTCAAGTCTATTTTTACATTTGGTGCATTTGAAGTATAATCACCACAGGTCACTACATGCTAAAATCAGGAAGATCACCTGTTAAGTTATTTATGTTTTGGAAACTTTTTTATTTTTGACTCTTCAGATGGATCAGGCTCCTGGTGACACTGTGAGCTTTATGGTTTGTGTCGTCATTATCATGTTGACTCCTAAGCTATAGAGCACTAAAGTGAATACATAAAAAGAGGTTGAAATTCTTCTATAAGTTTCCCCCTCCTTGAATTCCATTATAAATATATGCTATGCACATTGGATGGTAAAATTATTTAAAATAATGCGGAAAAAACAAACAAATTCTTTTGCATTATGTTGTAAAACAAACATGGTGCCACCAAATTTGAAGCTGGTACCACCATTTGAGAGACTTGGTGGCACGACTGCCACCAGTATGAAATGTTAGTCTGGAGCCCTGGAATAGCCCCATTTGATCATATTCTGAAACGTTTTCCTGGTGGACCAACACATGGTCCCTTTTATTGGATACATGGGGGTTGTTTGTGCTATCCCTTTAAAGATAATGAACATAATGAAGGGATTTCTGACAGTGGCTGGACTGTATGGCTGGTTGAAGCTACATTAATTGTTATTGATCTTGTAGAACATTTAATCTAAGAAAAGCATTTTAAAAGGATGGATGTTTACTGAATTTGTGCAAAAAAAAAAGTGTAAATGTAATGCTGGAATGGAATTAGCCTACTGCTGCCTTTAAGTGCATCTAGAAATAACATACACTATTCTAGTTTCTGTTGTCACATTTTCTCTGCCTGAATTCAATTCAAGGGCGTTTGTGTTAATCTCTTTTACACAACTACTCCTGGCACTTACTAAAAACACAAAACTTTTACTAACCATGTGATATGGCTAAAACTTAGGCTGAGTGCATTCTGAGAACTTTTTCAGTGGACAGATGTGGTCTGCTAAGTTCAATTGACTTTCTGAATTTAGCCCTCAGATTACCAAAGAAGCAACTCAAAGCTGACTGAATGGTGACAAGAGATGGGTGAACCCCTCGTCTCTACACATGCACACAGACAGACAAACACACATACACACACACACACACACTGTCAGCTCCATCCCCGTGATTACTCCAGTATAACTTTAAAAGAATAATTTGGGTCGAGCCAAGTCACTGTAGGCAGGCCCTTACAGCAGAGCAGGAATCCTCCTCTGCACTGCCAAGATTACCTGCCAGTCAAAGCAAACAAGAACCCAACTCTTATTCAGTCTGCTCGTATTCGCCTTGGTCTCATCATTGGGCAGAAAGTGAGCCGACCATGAAGACAAATAAACTGAATCTGCATATGGAAGAAGATTTTGAATAGATTTTTGAATGATGACAGGGTTTGTTTTTACCAGGTGCTTTTCCCTGCAGTTTCTCTTTCAGCTCTCTGAGTTTAGCAACTTCTTTCTCCAGTGGCTTCTTCAAATCTGTACTGCTCAACTGAAAACACAAGTACAAATTCCAGTGAGAGCATGAAACCTAAAATTTGTATGATATTCTAGCTCTAAGTCATGTTGGGTTTAGCTACCTTGCAGCTATAGGGGTTTTGTGCGATGAAGGCTGCCAACAGCTGTATAGCACTTTTCACCGCATTTATAGATTTGTCCATCAGTCGTCCCACAGCAAGTTCCATTACTTCACTGTACCTACACAGGGGCAGTGCCTGTACACATGGTGACAGTTTCACTTACCAAGAAATACTGTCATCCTTTTACAAATACACTACAAGACAAAGAAAACATACTTTGCTGTTGACAATGCGTGTGTAAACCTGCAACACACGTGCTCTGACATGGGCATGTGTGTCATGCAGATGTTCCTGCAGTGTGTCAAAGAAGCGGTCACGGTCAGCTTTACTGGACTCATCTAGATCATCACCACACAGGACTTGCACAAGGATCTCTCCTAGTACTTCACACACAGCAACACGCATTGTGTGGCTCTGTATAAAAAGGGGGAAATAAGAAATCAGGCAGTGTCACTACAATACTGTTCATTCTACAACAGTCCTAAATTATGAGTCACCTCTTGTGATATGTTCAAATAAATATGTCACAGGAGGAATAACTTGCACATGAGCATTATAACTACTTTAGTAAACAAAAACAGCAGAAAACAGTTTTGAGTCCAAATGGGTTTCTAAACTGTGCCCTCAGATTACCAAAGAGACAGCTCATGGCTAACTGAATAGCAAGAGAGCTGGGTGAACTTCATGCCTTTTTCACACTCACACACACTGTCAGCATCATCCCAGCAATTACTCCACTGTGACTGTTAGAGGAATAATTTGGGTTGAGCCAAGTCACTGTAGGCAGGCCCTTACAGCAGAGCAGGAATCCTCCTCTGCACTGCCAAGATTACCTGCCAGTCAAGGCAAAGAAGAACCCAGCTCTCATTCGGTAAGCTCATATTCGCCTTGGTCTCATCATTGGGCAATATATGAACTGAACAGGAAGAATAATAAACTTATTTCTTAGGAATAACTAAGTTTGCTTTTTCCATAAGCTTTTTTCAGGTTTCTGTGTCACAGAGACAGTGTTTTGGTTAAGACAATGCTCATCCAGTACTAAATGACCAATGATATGGTGTGGCTTTGTCAAACATATGCAGAAGTTCATTGGTAAGCAAACATGTTACTTGTTGCTCTTCAAGTAGTACAAGCATTATCTAAATTTCATTAGGTGATGTAGGGTACCCGTCTTGTCTGAAAAATGTATTGTGACCAGTTGTCTGTGAAGCACAAAACAGTATTGCACTCTGCTGTCACAGGAATAAATGAGCACAATGAAAATATTTGGTTCTTCTATTCTCCTCTTTATGTAATGACAGTACTGCACAAGCCAGAACATTAAAATTTATGAACCCATCAGCTTGCTGCCCAGCCATCCCCAGACTGGCACAACTATATGAACCTCTAAACAGAAAGTCATGAAAGCCACAAAAAGCAGTAGGGAATGAAATCTGCCAACTCAATCAAGCAGTGTGTGCAGACTTGAGCCTTTGCATTAGCAGCCCTGTTGCTCACCATAGTGATGAGTCATTAAGGGTTACCCCTGTACATTTTTAGAGAGCTCCAACTGAGAGCAATATGGTAGCAAGATTATACTGATGGAAGGACAGTGTTCTCCCTTCAGCAACCAAGCTATACTTCAATAATTCAATGTTAGCAAGATGAATATGTCCAGGTGTACAATACCTCTCCTTCCAGGTGAGTGATAAGCACACTAATGTTGGGAATCATTATTTCAGGAACCAGGGTGCTGAGTTCCGAGAGGAAGGAAGCAAAGGCTTTTACCCCTGACCCCTCTCTAACAAGCTCATCACTTGACTTCTGACCAATCTCCCTGTAGAAATAGAAAAAAAAGACACCATAGCATCTTCTATCCGAGACAGTGTTTTTGCACACACACACACACACACACACAAAAACCCACACACACACACACATTCCCACAGGCAGAGGCACATCACGTGTACTGACCTTATTACTTCTCCTATGATAGCCCTAACTCCATATTCTTTGGCCCAGACAGACACTGCCTGGGCAAACACAGATGACAATTGCTCAAAGTGCTGCAGCAACTGGATCACTTTTACACTTGCACCTGTTAAGAGTTAAGACACAATAAAATTATAAATGTTATTACAAACCCAAAACAGCAATGTATGTTGGATAACAGGAGACCTTATAATGTTATGTGCTTGTTATACTCTACATAACATTCTTCACATAAACAAGATTGATATGCTTTCTCAGTTATTATTCTTGGTCACAGGTTCAGCAAATGAGTAGGAGCTAACCCAGGAGGTGATTATACTTCTTGATCAGCACTCCCAGTAGGTGGATTATACAGTCCCTGGTGGGTTTGCTCTTGACATGGCTGATGGTTGGGTTCTCCAGTAGTTTGTAGCAGCAGCAGGTCACACAGCTATGAGAAGAAAGACACAGAGCAAAGAATTAATCATCATCAAAATTGGATCAAATTTTGGACAATCTACACAAGGCTTTATATTCATCCAAAAAGAAGCAGAACAGTACAGAAAGCACATTTATGATGATTAAGATGTAACAACAGAACACTTGTTTTAAGTATGCTGTCTAGCTAAAATTTGAAGATTAGGGACTTCTTTTATTCAGAAACAAAAACACAAAATCTTATAACCTCCAGTAGGAAACACACTTGTTTCTAATGAAAATAAAAGCAAGGACTTTGAGGAAATGTTCACAATGGAAAAGATTAAATGAAGCAATTTAACACAGTTCCAAGATCATATAACCTTATTTTAATGCATCATTAGTGGAAAGGCTAAGATCATTTTAATATAAGCTCCAACTAAAGCTGCTGTGTTACCAATGCCGGAAGACATGTAGATTAAAGAATAAAAAGAGTGGAGAATTACAGCAATGAACTGAATTAAGACAGCTAAGCCTGATATTGTACTACTGCCCAGAGCTCCCCAGAAAGCAGAGTACCTGACAAACTCTTCCTCTACCAGGGAGAGGCTCCAGAGGGAACAGATATCTAGCTGGAGGAGTTGGACAAGGGCCTGAAGCACTGTTTCTCTCTCTGAGTCCCACTGCTGAAGTCCTTCTCCACCAGCTTTGCCTTTTTTACCACTCTGTGCAAGACAGACAAAACCTGATAAATTCAGTCAGCTCAGCATCATACTGGACTGTAAAAGTCCTGAGCAACACAATAGCATTAGCAATTTAAAACTAATATACAATTCATGACCTCAGATTACTAAAGACAAGTCAATTACACAGGGACTATATCTCTTGCCACCTGACGCACATATATTCTTTGAACGCACGCATACTATTTGACATCTCCTAACTAACCAATACAACTAGTCCTGGAGGACTGAGGCTGTAGAAAGTGACATTTTAAATGTGGATAGGCACATACAGTAGTGCAATAAAACTTCACACTACTAAGACTAACCACCTAACAGGAGGCTAGAGACCACAATCTCTTGGTCTGACTGGACCAGAAAACTAGCCAAAATCTTACCAGAGAGCATTTAAAATGTTGAACATAGAACTACTGACTATTATAGTCATCTACAAAGTATTTCTTAGCTATGTCATTAATAACCATACCTTCCCAGGTGCTGTGACAAAACTCGGTCTACAGGAGTAACTCTCAAGAGACTCTGTTAATTTGCAGAGCAGGAAGATACTCATTTTAACTGCATTGAGCTTCTCTTTTCGCTCTGTAGCTGACAGAGAGGAGGAGACAAGGAGCGTCGGAAGGGAGGCAGCCAGGCCATTAACCACTGAATGGAGAAAAAAAAGTCAAAGAAACAGACAATAAATGATCATCTCAGCATATTATTGTTGCATTTCTGTTGATTGTCCATACAGATTCTCAGTCATCCAGGTCATAGTAAGCTGAAAAACGTAGAAGAAAAAAAATTTAAAAATCAACTGGATTTGGTTTTAGGTTGAAGATGTTCTACTTCTCATCCAAGAGGCTCCATTAGCTCGGCCCGACTGGTGTTGAGCCGGACATATTTATCCCCATTGATGGTGTTTCAGTCCCCTAATGACTGAGTTGTTATAGCCCAGTATCGGTGAGCATTGTTATCTGTCTTTGAACCCTCACCTGTGCACATATGCCTGCTGTCCTGGTGGGCATGTTTAGGCAGAGATCATGAATGTAGAAGTATATCGGAAACCTACACACACGGACCAATACCTGCTTTTTCTACGTTTTTCAGCATTTCTGTTGATTAGAACATAAAAACACAAAATAGGTCTAACCTTGTATTAGCAATTGCAGAGTATCCTCTTTCACTGCCAGTTCCACTGAGTTGCTATGCCTTAAAAAAAAGCAAAAACAGCAGTTCTGTGCTCATGCATTTCTTAATAGCAATAACAAGGGTAGGCTATGTATGATCAGCACTTACTGTAGCACGCTGTAGCCTGTGTCAAAGTGTTCCAATATACACATAGGCCCATGGCTTCTCAATGCTGCCTTGAATTCTATGTGAAAGTGACAAAAACCCTAAGTCATACCAGCTGAACAGCTCCACAAATCATACAGGTTATAGAATCTAGTTCACCATTTACCTCTGAGATAGGACGGTAGCTGATTTGGGGTTACTACATCCTGAACGACGTACTGATTTACCCCTCCTGTCTTCACCAGGTCTCCCACGCACACAGGTACAAGGAAGTCCCACGACATCCCTCTGTCAAGAGGGAAAAAACCAAAACAAAACATTACATTAACTCACTTTACTTGCATCATTACCTAAATTAGCCACCGCAACCATGTGTAAGTCTAGAGATACAATCTATTATTTAAATGCACAGATCGAAGCAGGATCTCTAATTATTAAAACAAGATAACACTGTAGCCTAGAGGTTTTACACTATCCTGACCACCAACCTAAACTTAGGACATTTTATGTCTTTATGTAGGCTACTACATGTACTGTAAGTTAATACCTTTTTAAAATCGCATGCATAGAGTATGGCCTTATGATAGGAAACCAGCTGGGCACGTATATTACCACTTTTCCCCAGAACATCCAAGTAATAAAGTAATTCCTAATTATATGATTTACCGCTATATATTGTGTATTAATGCGACCTAAGCGGCAAACCCAAAAGCCTCCACTCACATACTGCCTACTGCAGACCTGAGACAAGATTTTGCCTTTGTAAATTAAATCATTTTTAAAAATAACATTACCCTTTAGTTTTCTCACAAAATACTTCATGTCAGAGATTCTTTTTTTTTAAATTCAATACCTGCACATTGCCGGAAAATGTTAGTCTTTCAATAAGGCATAACGTAACTTACAGATTTGTTGTTATGATTTCACGTTAAACTAGCCAGACAAGCTAATTACCTAGTTGGGCTAGCTAGACTGTTTACCCTAACTTGTCAACTGTTAACATTACTGCTTAACTGTAATTCGAATGAGCCAAAAAAAAAACGTATTACAAACTTAGAATATAACGATCACCTGCAACGCTTTCCGTCCAATTTCGACCTGTGAAAGTAAAACTGTAGTCCACTCTAACCGCTGGCTGCGAACGGTACTTTTCAAATGTTTAGACCTCGCGCCAAAGGGGAAAAAAATGACGTCACATTCATGCGCCTTCATTACCACAACTTTGACTCTTCATCACCACCTAATGGAAAACCATAAACACTACAGCATGATGTCACCGCTGAGTGCACACTATTCTTAACTCGGAATTATACATAATAATGAAACACGCAGACAAATGGACCATCTTGGAAAGTGTTTTTGAGGTAGTAGCTGTATTAAAATGATTGACAACACAATCACCCCCTGTATCAAATGTTTCAGCTACAGAAATGACAATACTTTTCACAAAATGTCTTACTTTCTATACAGCACTCAATCAAATGTTAAAATAGGATGGTTTAACTCATTACCACGGATGACTAATACTTTCATGATGCAGCATTTGACTTCATATTTTTTGCTCTCTTTTTATACTTTCAAAAACTAGTGTTCCAAGGCTAAACACAAAAAAGTAATTACACAACAAAGCAAAAATCTCTCCATAGCCTAACTGTTTTCAGAGAAAAGACTTGTAGTTACACATGTGAGTACAGTATAAAGTATCATGGAAATGTGAACTGTTAAACCATTAGGGGCAGATGTAGTGTTGATTATTCACTTGTAAAACAAAAATTTTTTTAAAAGTCGCAATAAGAGCACAAAAGGTAATTACAAAAAACAAAATTAAAAATTAAATGTATAGTTAACTGTTAAGGGAAAACAAATTAAATACATTTGCAACCCACTTGGCTCCTTCACAAACACTGCAACAGACCAAGGCAAATTATGTAAACCAAAAAGAAAAGCACCAAATGTTAAGAAAGAGGAGAAAAAAAGATCTAGTAACTAATGAAGAAATATTCTTCTCATTTTCCATCTGATCAGTGTCCACGTTTTGTTCCAGGACAACCAGGTGTTTTTTATTTTCTCTTTCTGTCTTGGGAGCATCGTGGGCAATACCTGCACAGCATAAACGAACACGAAGGAGAGGATAAATGGTTACTGTACGTGACTAGTTTGACTAGGTAACAAATCACACTTTCATTTCACATACTGAAAATATAAAAGTACATTACAGCTTTACAGGGTTCAAGTTTCAGCTGAGTTCAGTTTCTTACCATTTTCCTCTTGGTTTTGTTGTCAGGCCCACACATGCAAAATGGAACCACTCAATGGAGCACTGAAGAAACACAAAAACAGACAACTGTTAAATATTCCTACAGATGGAACACTCAGTACAGACAAAACAACAGTATTCACATCACATGATCAACTAGAATTACCACTTTGCGGTTGTATGTTTCCACCAATCAGTCAAATTTATGGGAATGGACAGACGTGACCTTGACCTTTGACCACCAAAATCCAATCAGCTCCTCCTTGACTCCAAGTAGACGTTAGTGCCAAATTTGAAGAAATTCCTGAGATATCACATTCATGAGAACGGGCCAGATGGACGCAGGTACATACAGACGAAGAACCCGAAAACATAATGCCTCCAGCCACAGCTATTGCCAGCACAGAGGAAAAACATAATAAACTTTTTTTAAAGAAGAGATATCACACACAGCATGTGTAATGTGTGGCATCTGCTAATTAATCACTCTTTCATCTGTGACCTTATCCATAGAGGATGAGGCATGAGACTGCAGGAATCCTAAGCCTCTTAGTTTGTGGTTAAATTCTAAAAAAATGTATAACAGAAAGGGCGTACATGTACACTACATAAAATAACTGATTATTGATATTACATTATTACAGCTTCTATTTTTTTTTATTATTATTCTTAAGTAATCTTTCTCAATTTCATACCTGTACCATGAAATATATTGTCATGACCTTTGTGATACACAGATGGTATTTCATGCTAATGTTATTTTAAAAAATTATAAACATTTAAATAAAGTCATCTGTTTGGACAATCCATTCACATTAAAGCACCCATGAAATAAATCCATAGATTTTCTGTGTTCTTAGATGCATTGTTTCTTGTTTGTTTTGCGAGATGTCACAAACAGGCATTTTAACATATATCTATACCAGAATTCAGCCTTACCTCTTCCCATTTCAGGATATTATTTTACTGATGTATCTTGATTATTATAAAATTACATCCAATAAAATTTAATTATAGACTAAGGCACTCCAACTAACCAGCAGACGGAAAAACAAATATAGGATACACAAAGTACAATAATGCTGAATGACAGGGCCAAAATTTTTTTTTTCATTTAATTGATATATACTAATTATCAATATATACATTGATTTTCCATTTCTAAATCACAAATGTTGTGTGACTTCTCTTTAGCCCAATATTCTATTATCTCATTTTGTGCTGGCATCTGACCATCCTCACTGGGGCTCATTTGCACTTTGTCTTATTCTATGCATCTATCCTAAACATGAAAAAGTGAAAGCTAATGTTAGTCACCATGCTGTAGTGTTTTCCTGCCTAATTTTAATTTCCATGTCAGATCACTCATAACGTTTTGCCCGATCTTGTTCAGTGAAGAAACCAAAAGTGCCATGTCATTTGCCTTTTGACTGAGACACAAAGGGGGCCATAAAACAAAACTCACATCAGTGTTGTCACAGCCGATCATCTCGCCATAAGAGACCTGATGACACAGACAGTAGGTGGGTTCATTTGGGTCCACTGGCATGTCCAGCACATCAGATGGGTGCACATTCCCAAAGTTGGAGGAAGGGCTATTGAATTCTCCCCTGATGATGGACAAAAATATTTTAAATAATAATGGGAATATGATCCTAAAGATGACTAACAATCATTAACTTCAAACTTGAAAAGTAAACTCCATCACAAGCTGGAAAGTAGATACACAACATACGGTTGATGGAGTTTGACTTTCTTCTGTAAACTCTTGGGGCTGCCATCTTCATCTGAACTCTTCACTTTAGACCTTGTTTTAGCCGTCTTCTTTTCCTTCTGTCTGGAGTCACCTGAAATTAAACAACACTTAAGTAAATATTCCATCAGGTGTAAGTCACAAGTGCCATAATAAAGACATTAAGTAAATATAATGAACACACCTTTTTTCCCCTTACTAGAGGTGGAATCATAGTCTGTGCTCTCGATCTGCTTTTCCTTCAGATCAGCTTCAAACCGAGCCAGGTCTGTGTCAAGACGTCTGATGTGTTTGTCGACCTGCAGAAAATAGGATTTAAGCAGACGGACTGTGGTGCATATTTCATGTACATTCAGTGCACTGGGCCAATCGTTTGTCCAAGTTATTCAAATCATATGACCATAAGATTTATGTAGAACATTATGTTTATTTCTAAGATACTAACCATCTCATAGGTCTGCATGGCCAGTTGCACCTTATCATCTCCAAACTCCTTGCATTTACTGTATGACTGCTGAATCTGCCTCAGTATGGACAGCTTTTGCTCTGTACTCTTTAGCCAGAGAGTCTATCTGGCTTTTTAAATCTAAAGGAGACACAAGGAATAAAGCTTCTAAAACAGTGTTAAGTGTTAGCAATTGTTTAACAATGACCTCACTGCAATTTTATTGTGTACAAATAAAACTTCCTAGACTTTATGGCTTATGAAGAAATGTCTACTTATGACCATTCATTACACGTTATGTCTTTACTGTGGACAATAACTGAGTAGTTCAAACATAGGAGGAGTCTGTCTTCCTTTCTTGAGTTGTTTCATTTGAAGGATTTTCAGAGGCCTGGAGAGGTGAAATTATTCAGTATTTTACAACTAAAGGGGGCGAAACAAGGGAAAAGTCATAAAGTGATAATTTTGTGGAACCCTAACATTTTCTTCCATATCCGTTAATCACTTTGCAACAAGTTAGCCTTCACCGATGAACCCGGACTTAGGGGTTGGGAACAATTGCACAGATCAAACTGTTAAAAGATCAGACATAAAAGTGGCGTTGTGTTTAAACAGGGTTCCTTAACTAAATGGAGTGCACAGGATGTTCACACCACTTCACTTTTTTCTCACCCTCTGTGCGTTGATCTAGATCCCTCATCAAATTGAAGTTTCTCTGCAACTCGAAGGGCAGGTTTTCTATGCCTGAAGTGGTGCGAGAAACAAGAAAAGGAATTGAATGCCTACTTCAATGAGATCAATATGAAACGTTAAGGCAAGCAGGATAGCTAGCGTTAGCTTCTTGTGTGGACTGATGCTCCGACTGACGTTAACCCATGCTCTTGAACAAGCTTGTCAGAAGTACTACGTAACATACAAAGGACACAAAGACAATTGACCTTACTTAACTGACTTTAAGCTAGATCAGCACAGCCAGTTCTGTCCGTGCTGCCGATCTCGAACAACCCTCTCTTCGCTAGTGTAACAACGTATTACTCCAGCAAATAGACTGAGCCTAAGCGCACTGACCGTTAGCAAACGATTAAAGCATTTGCGTCTGCAAGCATGTTGGACAAGAAGTATATTATTTAATAAAGGTCAGTCCTTAAAAAGCTAAGTAGGTACAGTTTGTTTCTAACGACTTTAAAGTATGATGGATATCTTACTGTCCAAATAATGCTCCAAATACATCCCCGCCGCCATCTTGGAAAATGTAAACAACTCAGCTTCCTGGCCAAAATGTACCAGTCTGATTGGTTATTTCCAACACTGTTCATAACACTAGTAGACTTCCCAGCGCAAACCCCTATCCAAAATACCGGTTTGTATCTCGAGGTAATATACCAGCTATCAATACGAGCATATGAAGCCACCCTCTTCATTTTCACTTTCTCAACTAACTGCATTGCTGTTATCTAATTGGAATCCATTTTACGTCTATCCATTAAGTGTATGACACAAATGCATTCTGACCAGTCAAAATTTCATTTCAAAACATTTTGCCTCATTCTGACTGATGACAATGAACCACTGAGTTGAATGGAGACTCATCACACATTTTTCTACAACTCAATTCTGGATATCTGAAATTGTGAATTCTTTAAAATTATTTGGAACTAAAATTCTAGTTACCTTCTGTGTAATTTTGTCTGATCATAACCTTTAAATAAAGATGTTTTTTTGAATGTCCAAGTCCAGTGAACACTCCTAGATGCTAGACGTGTTTCCCATAGTTGACATGACCCCTGCTGAATGATGAATAAAACAAACAATAGGAAAAATATCTTAAAATATTTATTGTGTCTTGCAGACTTATGAAAGCTTCGCCATCCTGCAATGTCATCAAAAGACAAACAAAATGAAAATAGTCTAACACAAATTTAAAAACAAGAACGTACGCAACTAGAAGAGAGCAGCACTGACCACCGGTCCAATCCTGTTAGTCGTATTTCACCGACACAATATCACTGCTCTGAAAAGACAACAGAGCACACCAACTTGAATAGTCTTTAACTAAAGGGAAGAGGATCTTGGTCTGTAATGATGCTCCAAAAAGCTCTTACATACTCAAGTACATTTTAACACACTGTACAAATTGTCACACACTGTCCTTTTTTTGCAACATGCGCTTCAACTTGTTGAACCTATTCTTTCCCATTCTCTTCTTTACCTTAATGGGTTTTTTGGTCTTTTTGACTTGCTTTTTCTCAAATCTGCTCCCTTCCTTTTTGTCAGCCTTTGATGCTTTAATCTCGTTAGATGATTTCACCGTTGGCTTCTTGGCCTCTGTCCCTTTCACAGTTTCACCATCCAGCTTGGCAACTTTTGCCTTTGTTGGTCCAGTTGGTAAGGCTTTTTTGCCTTTTGATTTGATGTTTGCTGCAGTTCTACTGGGTTGGGCTTTTTCCTTTGAGCCTTTTGCCTTACTTGGGCCATTCTTGTCTTCAGGAGAGTCTGCAACTACTGTGGCCTCAGGAGCCTCTCCATTCTCTTCTTCTAAATTAGTAACAGATACAAAGGGTGAGTTATCAAGATAACTATAATGGATGAAAGTTGGCATGAACTAAGAAAGGTATTACCTTCCCCTGCAAGTGCTCCTGGAATTACGTTGGAGAACTTCTTCAGCTTAGCCACAAAAAATCCATCCATATTATGAGAATGAGGGTAAAACCGGCGTGAGAGATGCAGAGAAGGGTGGAACCTGCGCTGTTTAAACCTAAAAGGATGGGGGAAAAGTTTGTGTTGAACATCAGAGTGCTTGCCTTTCAGTCTTTAAGTAACTTAAATACTTATCTTATTTACCTGGTAAAGCCTTCCTTGCCAAAGTCAAGTCCTGTAGGAACTAATTTGACATTTCTTTTTTTTAAGGCGTAGTCCACCACCCATTCATTCTCCTCCACCTAGGATAACACACTGTAGTCATTAACAGTGGCTACTAACACTAACAGTCACCTTTTGCTAAACCATTCAGAAAACTGCTCACAAAGTAAGTAGGTACATAGGGAACTGAACCCACTGAAGTACATGCATTACTCATACCATTATGGAACATGTGCAGTAGACCAGATATCCTCCTGAAGTGGACTCAGCATTGACAGAGTCAATGGCAGACAGAATCAGCTCTTTCTGAAGGTGAGCAGAGCGCTGGATGTCTGCCTCATCCTATCAGGAAACACCACCATGGAAGGAAATGTTATCATCACAATATTAAAAGCCAACCACAAGTATCTGAATGGATGTATACCCAAAGACTATGAATGGTGTATTACCTTACTGGTCTTCACAGCTGGATCTTTAGCAATGACTCCTGTGCCTGAGCATGGAGCATCAAGCAGCACTCTGTCAAACCCACCCATTACCTTTAAGCAAAATGTCAACAAGTCAGTACACTATATAAAATTCTAGAGTAAATGTAAACCACATATGTATCCACAGTACCTTTGGGAACTGCCTGCCATCGTAGTTGCAGACAATAGTGTTGGTGACCCCCAGACGGTGGATGTTTCCCACCACACTCTTCAATCTTTCAGCGTTTGCATCATTGGCCACGATCACACCCGTGTTTCTCATCAGCTGTCCTACACACATATTGTTAATTTGCATGTGAGAAAATATGTATTTGCTTCATTTCCACTGGTCTACATTAGTGGAGCCACACAAAATTAATCTTCATTTTTCACGAGAAACTACCAAACCTTCACTGGTTCTAGCTTCTCGAGTGTAATAATGTGTGCTTTCTTAATCATATGTGAGGAAATTGTTTTATGTATGGGTTTTGGACTGTTGGCTGGACAAAACAAAAACAAACATGATTATATTATAGATTACTATATTTATAATTAATATAATTAATGTTTGGCTTTGGTATAATAGGCAGTTTTCATAATTTTACATTTTAAAGACAAAAAAATCTGAAGAAAATGAACAGCAGATAAATGAAAATACTGAAATAATGAAACTAGCCATGAGAGGTCTGTTTATTTCGGTTTTCTAGCGGTTAAGTTTTTTGTTTTTTTGTTGTTTTTTTTTTTGGTCTTATGTCATTTATGTTTTTTTTTCTATTGCTGTACCAACTGGAGGTCACTCTAAAATTTCATTGTATGTCTTACAATGACAATAAAGGATTATTTTATCTTATCTTAATTGCAACCCTAGTCTACATTAGACAGTTTGAAACACATTATACAATGACTGTAATTGTCAATTCCATAAAATGCAACAAAAACAAATCTTACCAATATAGGTGGTCTTGCCTCCTGGAGCTGAGCTCATGTCCAACACTAACTCACCCTCCTGTGGAGACAGTGCCATAACTGGCAGGAAACTGGAGGCTCCTTGCAGCATGTAGTGGCCAGCCAGGTACTCTGGGGTTGCACCTGTTTTAAAATACATAAAGAACTACAATATGCCATCTTTTAAGAACTGTGTTCTTGAACATTACCGCTCTCACCAGTACACCGGACGCTGTGCTATTACCTGACAACAGGCTCAATGTAAAGTGAAGGACTATTTGTGGACATACAGAGGCGTCTTTATATGTACAATATATCCTCCCCGGCTACATATATGAGAAGGTCATAATATTAGGAACACCTCTGAATATAATGTAGTCCGGTACAACATTTAACTATGACCTCAAAAATAAACACATCATTGAATTTATAGATTTATGACAATTTCAGCAAAAACTGAAACATTTTGATTCATGAACAGATGTTCAGGGAGAAGTGTTGCATTGAATTGCACACAATTGTACTGAAACTTACCTATAGGTACTGAGGAGTCGTAGATCACTAGACCGATTTTAGACCACTTCCCCAGTGGATCAAGGTTAACTCCTCGGTTGATCAAGGCCTACGAGTTCAAAACATAAAGGAGGAAGCATTAGACAATACTAGTCAGGTCACTGGATGAAGGGTTTCTCCAGGTGTTCATTGATGACTTCTGTGTTAATGACACAACAGACTAAAGCCAAACTATAAACATTTGTACCTTTCATCTAGATATTTTTCTACTGATTTCATTTACATTCTTCATTCACAGCAAACAAGCTGTATGACAGTTTTTCATTTGTCTGACCCTATCGCCCACACTTTTCTGTCTGAAGGACTGCAAAACTATGTACAGTATATCTCAAACACCCCTCATCTCTGTGTGTTACACTGAACTCTAGATATAAAATTAAGCTCTTGCTACTTCTTGATATTACTTTTAATGATTTGATGTACAAAAGTACTAATTACCATGTAACAAACAACATTTATGTGAAAATATTGCACTTGGCCATTTAATGCATGGCTCCCAGCCCAGGCAGTTACCTCTGCAAGGTCCCGCCTCCTGGATTTCAGTGTGTTGGTCCGAATAGTGACAGGTCTCTGAATTTCATTGGCCTCAAGAAAATCAACCAGCTGGAAACCAAAAAACAAAGAAGGATTTACAAAGTTGTTTTTTTTTTTCACAAAGTCAAAATATCCTATTCATTTCATGCAACACAAAATCTCAAATGAGTCTCAAAAGGCACATGCCCAAACTATTATAACTGTACATCAATCAGTTGTAATCATGAGGAGGAAAAATCATCTGAACTTCTTTGGTGCCACAGAAGAACACACACCTCTGACAAAGGGAAGAGGTCTATTAATTTTTCAATCAGGAAGTTGTTGTAGCTGTAGTAAGTGCAGAGATCCTTCTTGAGAAGAGAGATATAATCTGCCCTCTCCTTCCCCGTCTCCCTTTTTGTTGAAAAATTGCACAGAACATCAATGTTGTCTCTGATTCTTTGGTGGATTGTTTTCAGGTCTAGAGACAGGACACCTAATAATACAGATAAGAGACAAGCTTTGACTTTTGCAGAACAGTTTGTGTGACTCAGCCAATACATTTCCCGCTTTAATGGGCAGGAGTCTCATGGGAAATGAAGTCAGTCACCTTCTTTCTCACTCTCCTCTGCCCCTGGTAGCTTAAATGTATCAATTTCTTCAATGTTGGTCTGTACTGTGTCTTCCTCATCCATGTCAGCATCTGATTTCTCTTCCTCCTTGTCATCATCATCGTCTTCCTCATCATCATCATCATCTTCATCACTCTCTATAGTAATTGCTTCCTTCAGCTTTTTCTCTTTCTTGGCTGCACGTTCAATGGGAAGAAGCTAAATGTTGAATGAAAACCAAGGAAAGAAGTCAGTAATATGATAGATTAACTGTACATTAATCACATTAACAACCCTTAAACGTAAGGGATTTTATCTGTAAATATACAGTTGTGTCAATAATTTACATTTTGGCATTTGAATCACAGTTTCAGTCAAATTTCAAAAGCTTGGTGGAAAGTTATACGAGAATCATTTCACATACTTCCTCTCCCTCACTTTCTTCTTCTGTTGCTTCAGCTCCACTGCCATCATCAACTGTACCATAGTCATCAACCATTTCTTCTTCTTCATCCTCCTCTTCTTCTTCTTCTTCCACCCCTAATTTTACACTCTTCTTGCTTTGATCTTTTCCTCTCTTCTTTTGCTGTTGCTGCTCCTCCTCCTCCTCCCCTTCATCTTCCTCCCAGTGATCATCACTGTCCTCCTCACTTTCAGGCTCATCAATTTTGCGCTTCCTCTTTGCAGGTTTCAGCCATTTGCTGTTCTCATCAGTGAATCCTTTACAGAGAGAAACAAACAACACACATTAAACATTTGTATCTTTTTTCCAATTTCTTATTCTCTTAAAAAAGAAAGACAGTTGCTTTTTTTTTGTTTTGAACTACATTCAATATATGATTACAATCAATAGCTTCCACAGATGTCAAATTACTGATGCCAGATAATCCATCACAATCAACATGAAGCCTTGATTTGTTCGTGTCAAAACTGTGGTTACACTGTTGAGTCATTACACCCACATGTGCTTGATTAA